TGGGTGCCGTGCTGGTACGCTTGCAGGCGCCCGAAGACACTTGCCGATCCTGCTGCCTGCGTGAGCACTGGGGGACCCCTTCCGGGCGGCGCCTGCCCCCAGGGGTGACCCCGCGCATGCTGCTGGCACTCTCGCGGGGGCGAGCGGTCCCTGTACCTCGGTGGCGGCGTCGGCGGTCTGCGCTCTCGAGAGCTGCGTCGTTGACGTTCACGTGAGCGCTCCCTGGAGCTGCGCCGCTGGCGCTCACGTGAGCGTTCTCGGGAGCGGTCGCGGTCGCCCTCATGGGGCGGCGAGCTGGGGGTTCCGCTGATCTCACGCTGCAGGTGCCTGAGGTAGCAGTTCTCCGTGCTGTGGTGCTGTCGCTGGCGGCACCCCGGGTGTTGGCAAGGGCCCGTGCCCTTCGGCATGTCGGGGTACAGGACCCTGCCTCTCCTCAGGAACCCCTCCCGGTGGTCAGCCTTGTGAGCCGCTAACATGGGGCCCGCATTCTGTTGCAGGAGGGCTCGGCGCTTGGCGTCCTGGATGTGGCTAAGGTCCAGGGCGTCCTGACGCTGTTGGGCGGGCTCCTGCTGGGGGCCCTGCCGCCGGTTGCCTCCTGAGGTGGCGGCGCCCGCGTTGGCGGCAGGCGTCCGTACAGCTGGTGGGGGCGAGGGCACTGCTGGCCGGCTGGGCTGGGAGGGGCCGGCAGCAGCAGGGTCGGCTGCGGGGTCAGCTGCGGGTTCTGCCAACAGCAGTTCTAGATCCTCGTCCTCGGCCTCTCCCCCCTGCTCATCCATCGGCTCATCGTCATAGTCCAGCTCCTCTTCCTCCGTCGCGTCCCCTTGGGCGGCGCGGGTCATGAGGACTGAGGGTGTCCGCTGCGACGTTGCACGGACGGCGGAGGCAAGCTCACAGAGGCGCGCCTGAGCGTCAGGGGCGTCCGGTTCCTCCTTGTTGACAGTGGGCAGCACGACAGTCTGCGGGGGTTCGTCAGCACAGCAGTCTAGGTTGAGGATGTACGACACCGACGGCTGGGGGAAGCTCAGGGTGGAGACCCCAAGTGCATGCATGCTGCTCTGCCCCCACAGGAAGTCGAACAATCCCCTAGCCACTGCGTCCTGTACGACCAGGGCCTCCTGGCGGCTGCGGCGTTCATAGGGTGTGCCGGGGCACAGGACGACCTCCAGGCCCCCCTTGACCCGACCCAGACGGCTAGTGCGGCCCCCCACGGTCACAACTGCGTGGGCATCAGGCTCTACCGTGAACTCACCGCTGTCGGCCACGTGCTGTGCTATCAGGCACACGTCGCTGCCGCTGTCGACCAATGAGAGCTTGGGCCGCACCAGGCGCTGTCCCTTCCCCACCGCAAAGTGCTGCGAGGACACGTACTGCAGCGCTCCCGGGCTCTCACGGTACCTGCGCAGGGCATCCATGCGCTCTGACTTAGTCAGCTGCGCGAACTTGCTTAGCGTCAGCACCCCAGGCGCGTGGATGGGTTCACACGGTCCGAAGCTGCAGCTGACAGGTGTGGTCGCGGCTGCTGTGGGTGGTCCGAGCGGGCCAAAGGTGTCCGCCCCCCACTTCGTCGGGATGGCCTCCAGTCGTAGGGAGATGCCCTGCGACCCCTGCCACTGCATGCGCTGCACGGCGTCACCCACCGTCACCTCCAGGACGATCTCCTGGAGGCCGTAGCGGTTGAGAGCGGTTGGCTGGCTAGGCTGCACAGGGCGTTGCAGGAAGCCGGCAGGAAGGCGCTCACGAGCGGCAGCGGCGCGCTGCACGTCGTCAGGCTCCTCCACAGCTGAGGGAACGCCACCCGTTGGGGCCGGCTCTGCTACCTCACTTGCGGCGGTCAGCACCTCAGAAGGGCTGCTGCCGTTGCTGCTTGGGGTTTCCTGCGGCAGGCTGGGAACGGCGTCCAGCCAGGCAAACTGGCGATCTGCCAGCGTCACGGCGCCACAAAACTGCGCCTCATCCAGCGGCACGTCCTCAGCTGCTGCGGCGGCGGCGACGACTGCCGGCTTCTTCAGGAGGCCCGGCGGTATGGGGATGTTGTTCTTGCGGCTGAGGTCAACATAGCACCCTTCGGCGCCATGGTGGGCTGGAAAGGGGCAGCCCGGCACCGTGCAGGGCCCCTGGCCCTTGGGCGCGTCGGGGAAGCGCCTCTTCATCTCCTCCCGCCAGTTGCTAAACAAGCGCCGGTTGCCGGACTGCTCCTGGGGCTGCCTGCGACCCCCCGCGCCGTCACGGTGGCCACCGCCCCCGTCACGGTTCTGCCGTGGCAGTCGGGAGCTGACGCTGGCGGTGTCATCCCCCCTGTCGAACCCACGCTGATGGTGCCTGGAGGAGTGGCCAGCATCCCGCTGCGCCCCCCCCCTGGCCCCCCCACCGTTGCTGGCGTTGCCGGTGACGCCCATCGACTGATACTGGGCCATCTGCTGCCGGAGCTGGCTCAGTTGGCGGGCCAGTTCCTCCACAGTGGTGGTGGCGGCTGACACGCTGGGCTTGGGCTGGGAGCGCACGTGGTGGTCCGGAAAGTTGTGGTAGGAGCCTGACGACGTGCCTCCGTCGCAACAGCACGTGATACGTCATGACATCCCCACAGAACCGCCGCAGGAGCCTCGGAATATGGTAGCGCATGTAGATATATAAGTCCAGTACTGGTGCTGAGTAGGACGTAAGAAGCACTCTCAGAAAACGACCGGACCTAGGGCTTGCATGTGTTTGTGTGATGCACGGGGCGAGGGGACGAGTAAAGCGGGAGTGCTTGCATGCATGCGTGTGGGTTGCTTGGGTTGAGGAGGCCAGTTAAGTGGGGGTGCTGTCCCGCATGCAGCCCTTCTTCCACTGCCCCTCTTTTACTTGGGGCTCCTTGCGGCCCTCCTGCATGCGGCTGTCTTCGTAATGGCCCTCCAGCACACAGCGCCCCTCCCACACGCCTATACACACGGTGCTCGCTTGTATGCGCACATTGCCCCACCCTATCGCCCTCCCGCACACAGTCTTTGTCCCACTCATCCATCATGCTACGCCCCTCCATCATGCTACGCTCCTCCCACTTACTGTCACGCACGTGACACGCCGTGGCCCTTCCACTCGCTCTCGCTCTTGCTATCACATGACGCACCTCTTACTCGGCTTCCCTCCCTTCTTTTGCAGTAAAGAGGTGGTACCGCTATTCCTCTCCTGACATAGCAATACTCGTGCACGGTTTCAAACTGGCTTCCCCGTTTATATCGCTTCGATTACTATCGTAACGAGCCACTTCCACCTAAAACGGCCAACCGGCTCCTGACACTGTCGTAATGTTAGGGTATGTGTGCTTGGATTGGTTGGACACATTTGTATCCGTGTGCAAGTCGGTTCCTTGCCTGAAGTCGGGCTAAAGCGCACTCGCCTGCGGTGCTCTCCAGCGTGGGCTTCCTACATTGCTCCGTCCTGCATTGCTCCGGCCAGATGTCGCTTTGAAATGTGGCGAAATGTGGTCGTTAGCGGGGCCGTCTTTCCAAAGCCGCCTCTTTGGTGCTTTGAGTACCGTGTTTTGCGTTGTACATTGGTTGCCATTGGCGAGCCGTTTCGGCGACTTTTTCGCGCTAGAGACACGCATCTTAGGGCTCCAACTTCGCGGTGCCTTTGCCTTGAAGCAGCATTTTCGGTGCGCTAGGTAACTTGTTAAGCACAGTACTTTTAGTGGCTTTGCCAGGAGGAATGGGCGACTTTTTTGCGTTACGGACACGCATCTTAGGGCTCCAACTTCGCGGTGCCTTTGCCTCGAAGCAGCATTTTCAGTGCGTTGAGTAACGTGTTAAGCACTGTACTTATGGTGGCGTTGGCAAGACGAATGGGCGACTTTTTTGCGTTACGGACACGCATCTTAGGGCTCCAACTTCGCGGTGCCTTTGCCTCGAAGCCGCCTTTTCGGTGCGTTGAGTAACGTGTTAAGCACTGTACTTATGGTGGCTTTGGCGGGCCGTTTGTGCTACTTTTATGCGTTACGGACACACCCCTTAGGGCTCCAGGGTGGGCGCCCTGACCGGCCCCTCCTCACCCAGCGCTCAAAACGCCGCCCGTGATGCATGTGGCGCTTGCGACCTTCAAATGGGTTCGGAAAACGCCACTTGGCAACGCGTTGCGCGGCCGAGTGGAGAGAAAACAGCCAAAAACAACCGGCAAAACTCACGTTTTGGGTGGGATTCGAACCCGGACCGCGACTTTTAGCGCTCAAAACGCCGCGTCCCTGTTAAGGCGCTTGCCAAAAAAATGTTACACGAAACCCCCCCTCCCTATTGATGCCTTTCCTTCGCTGCTTCGCTAGCTCCGGACTCCGTCTACGACGTCGGCCTCCGACGTCGCTACATTGCTCCGGCGACAGGGGCAATCCTGGGGGGCGAAGCCCCCCCGAAGCCGCTTCGCGGCGGGGGCTCCGCCCAAAAATAAATTAATAATTAGCCATGCACATACGTTAAAGCGATATATTACATTGCACACGCTTGGTTGCAGGATACCGCCGGGATAGTGAGCACAGGCTAGACACTTGCACACTGAGGCCTGGACTGTGGGCCACGCGGCATGCTTCGTCGATAGTCTTTTCCTTGCTTGCCACTGTATCTATGTAATGATATGTACCAGAGGTCGCCAAGCGTCTGCGCTGTGCAATTCAGTGAGCTTTGCTTGACCTTAGCCAGCAGTGAAATGGGGCAGGAGCCCTGTTTTATTCGGAACAGAAGCCAAATTCTCAAACATAAATAGCAAGATGCCGTGGCTAGTCTGCGACTGCGTGTTTTACTTTCGGGAGGGGCCGGGCATACCCGCCCCGATACCCGCGCCCAATGCGTCTATAACAGTCTGCAAATGCCGGTAGTAGACGAGCGACAATCGGTAGGGGAATGCGCGTACGGGAAGAATGGTGGTTTTTGCACCGGATAACCGGGGAGCCGGCTTTGACCAACTTCCAACCGACCATCCATCGGAGGAGTACGGCTCAGTGCCTCAACCCTGCCCAGAAGGAACACAACCGGAATCTTAAAAGGAAGTGTAAGGACTAACGGGAAAGACCCAATGAGAAACACAACTTAGCAAGGTTGCTTCGGCGGTATTCCTCGTTTGCGTTAAATAGCTTATGCATGTTTCAAAGTCAACCTAAGACAATATGTTCACATATAGACCATAGCTATAGTGAAAACCCCATATACTTGCAAAGCCGCGCTATACAGTTTCGCGTGTTGGGCTCCGCCGCTCCGCAGGCCTTCGCAAGCCTGTTAGGCAAGGGCGTCAAGCACTGACATGTTAAGCGCAGTTACTGCAATTGCCGTTGTCAGTATGAGGAGCGGCTTTCAAGGAGGGGATGACGTTTGCATCCCCTCACACCATCAGGCTCCATCACCGCCAATCTCCAAACGCTCCTCAGGGAGCGACACCGCGCGCCTCTTAAACGTGTTCAGAAGGCAACCAGTACAGGAAGGCGACAGTCTCCTGCACCGTTCATCTGCCACTCTCCCAATTGTGGGATCACCAGAACCCGCAGCCTCTCTGGACGCAAGTCAGCGCGACAGTAAGGCATCGCGAGCCCTTCAGCAGCTTGGGGAGGCTTATCGGCGGATTAGCGAAGTTGGGCTTGTGTCAGGCCTGTCAGCTGCTGCAACATGGATGTTGCCCGGCTCTATGCGAAATCGCATATCCGCGGGCGACCTCGAAGCAGCACAAAAGTCAAGTGGAGCTTCTGGCAGCAGCCGGAATTCATCATCAATGGTGCTGTCATGCGCCATCTCAGCTTCTCATTCAGTTGCAGTTGGGCCCGCGGTGGAAATCGACCTTGAGAGAACTGCAAGCACCGCGACTTCGCGAGCTCAATACAGAGCCCAAAGCTGTTGTTCACATGACGTCCGTGCTCCGGCCCTGCCAGAAACCAGGTCAGCCGGCGCTGGCCCATCCATTAGCACCAACTGTTGCAGCAGTTCAACATCATTATCATCTGTCCTGCAGTCACCGCGGTCACCGGTTCTACGATTTCAGATACCCACCCCACCACCTCTCACGACGTTGACACGAGCACCGGTAAAAATCCCCTCGACTGTCGTCGCCGCGCCAACACCGGTCACTGTGACGCCCATTGAAGCCTCACATGACAACAGCAGCTACAACAACCAAGATAGCCAGCAAATCCGCCGCGACATCCACCATAACCACCAGCAGGGCAGTAACCGGACCCTAAACCAACAGCAACAACAACAGCAGCAACCGCCTTCGCCGCCTAGTCAGCAGCAGCCATGCCTTAGTCCAAATCGCCCAGAGCCTCCTCGCCCTCAGGAGCACTTCAAGCAGCTTCAACCTCAGCAACCACACCAACCGCCCCGGCCGCATCCACCGCACCAACAACCGCACCAAAACTCGCAGCCGCACCATCATCATCCTCACAACCCCCAGCAGCATGCCGTACAAACCGGCATCTTCAAGGACCGTACGACACCCGTGGATGGGCTGCTGTACCTCGCCTCATGCGCCCGGAGTTCCATGTGGACGGCCGCCAGGGGTACGCGGTGGTCCCTGCAGCAGTACGACATTAAACGGCAACTGTACAGCGGCTATGCCAGCACCGTTTACAAGGTGTGCATGGGTGCAAAGTTCACTCACGCCTCTTTTATTGCCGTGTGTCCATCCATGCCCAAGGATAGGGCAGCTCATGGGGCGCCTCTTATCATGGGCAAGCTAGCCTGTTGTTGGGACTATGCCTGGCAGCCCTTGTCTGGTGCCCGATAACCCGTACAGATATGCCGCTGTTGCAGATCCTGTCGTGCATGTCGTTGCGTGTCATACACTCCAACATAGATGCCCTACTTTGCATGTATGCCCATGTGCACAACTAACAATTCCCAAACCGCGCGGCCGCAGGCCAAATGTCATACGTCGGATCAAGAGGTGGTGCTCAAAATTTATCCCCTAACGGAGCTGACCGACTTCTTAAGATACCAGGTACAGAACTGTGCCGCTGCTATATTAGTTACACGGCGTAATACTGCTTTACTACCGGCCTAGACCCATGGCACGTCAATGTGCATACCAGCCGTGCATTTGCGGCGGGTTTTCATGTTCGGTATCCCCGTATGTTCGCTTCTCTGCAGGTGCTTCGAGAGCTGGACATCCACTCCCGGCTGAGGCACCCCGGTGTAGTGCAGCTGCTGGCCGCATTCAGGGTAGGGCCTCGTTGGGTACGGGAGCAGGGTGCTAGGTACGGCATATGTACGGCATGCTGCATGGGTACGATATGAAAAAACGGGGTAAAACAAAACAGCCAGAAACAGCCAGTCTGACACACACGTTCAAACCTTCAGTAGGTGGCATGTATCGTTGCTGCTGCATTGCATCAGAGCCGTTCAGAGGTCGCAAAGCAACAACCTATGCAGCTCATCCTTACATCGTAGCCCAGGCGTCTAGTGAACAAGCCCTCACCCCTGGCCCCACCCCACTCTCACGCCCCTGGCCTCCCGCAGGAGGAAGACTCGCTGGTGCTCGTGCTGGAGTATGTTCGTGGCGGCTCGCTGGAGGCCGTACGGAAGCGCATGGGGGGGCGCATGGCCGAGGCGTGGGCGGTGCACCTGGTGGTGGCGCCGCTGCTGCGCACCCTGGCGGCGCTGCACCGCACTGGGGTGGTGCACCGGGACGTCAAGCCGGTGAGGGGTGGGAGAGGGGAGGGGAGAGCGTCCCATGGGTCACACACAAATGTCGTCATTGAAGGAGATGCACCGGGAGGGACATTGGGGAAAGGAAGCGTGCTGGGTTTGGAGGACGATGTCTGACGCGCTCTTTGTTGCATTCCTCGCCCTTCACCTCAGCCATCCCTGTACGGTGAAACCCACAGGCTCTTGACCTTCGTCCTTTACTTGCCGCACACCTCCTCACTCCTGATACCTCCTGATACCTCCAACCCGGCCAGGAAAACCTGCTCTTCACGCCCGAATGGCGACTCAAGCTGTGCGATTTCGGTGTCTCCATCTGCCTGACGGAGGAACGGGCCGTCACACGGGCGGGATCAGCAGAGTACATGGCGCCGGTGGGTGGTAGCTGGGGTGGAGATGACACCCATACACGCCCATACATGAATTGGAAGGTCCAAGCACCTAGTCCCCAAGTGACCTCCCCTCTCATCCTGTTGGTCTCTTCAAATCCTCTCCAGCCCATTTGCCTTGCCTTGCTCGCAACGTCCTTCGTTCACGGTTTGCAACCATACATACAGGAGGTGAATGCATGTCCGCTGAAGCACGCTCCCCAAGACAACAAGTACGACAGCTCCTTATCGTACGGTACGGCAGCCGACGTGTGGTCCGTCGGAGCTCTAGTGTACGAACTCATGGTGGGTTTCACGCCCTTCGGAACCACGCCGCCACTACCGCCGCCGCCGCGACGGAAAACCTCTGTATCGTCGTACACATCACTGACGCCGGTGATGACGTCATCCCCCATGACGTCGTCGCCGCTGACGTCACCGCCAGCATCGCCGCCGCCGGCGTCGCCGCCGAGCTCCCCCAAATCGTACCACTCGTCTGCCGCCGTCAGTACGGCGGTGGATCGTACGGCAGCGATGGAAGCTCGCCGCCGTACTAGTGGATACGGCAATAACAGCACCATCAGTAGTACCCCTACCATGATGTCGGCCTTTTCAACTGCAGCTGGCGCCGCGGCAGCCGCCACCGCCGCCGCTGCAACGGCGGCGACAGCTGCGGCGGCAGTAGTTAATGCCGTACCTTCCGGCCGCTTGTCCACGGGGCGTCGCAGTAGCAACAGCAGTACCAAGAGTATCAGGCTTGCCGCCGCCGCTGCCGCCGCCGCCAGTGCGACGCCGCTAGCGTTTCCCGCTAGTGTCAGTACGGCCGCGAGATCTTTCATCCGGTCGTGTCTGGAGCTAGCGCCGGAGAACCGGCCTACAGCGGAGCAGTTGCTGCGTCATGAATGGGTGCTATCGGCGCAAAAGGTGGGTTAGGGTTAACGATTGACGGTTGACGGTTTACAAAGTTAGTGTGCATGCCGTACACAGGAAGTTTGGAAGGGGAAGGGAACCTGCTGCTCATGCGGCACCGCGACCACCATACATACACCTAGCTAAGTGGAAGCGTTGGGCATGTTGTCCCGTACGACGTATTGTCCAGCTCATAACGGCTTTGTACATGTGTACACAATTTGATATCTTTCCCAGCTGCCGTTGCCAGATGCCTAGAAGTTAAACGTAAGTTTGCCGTACACCCGCCTTTTTCATACGATGTACAGTACTGCCACAATCCGCCTCCATGAGGTCTCTCGTGACGCTTCCGCTGCAACCCCGATCCGGAGCGACGTCATGGGGACGCCTTGATTGCGTAATGGCGGATCCTTTGGTGGAGGAGGCAGAAGGTTGCTACCCTGAGCTGGAAGCAACGGGGCATGACAAGCAGATTGCAGGTGTTTGTGAACAGGCAGTAGCTATCGTTGTTTTTTTTGCATAACTTATTAGCAGAGTGGTCGGACCAGCAGTCAATAAACAGCTAGGGCGTAAGAGCCCACTTATACCTAGGCTCAACGTGGGAATACAACGTGGTTCTGTGGTATGGTTGACCTGGAAACCCAATGATGACAGCGGGTGATGCAGGTTGCTGTTTCACTGCTTGGAGCATGAGGGTGCGTGTGGTGGGTTGGTAATTCTAGCACGCCCCTGAAAGGCGTCGTTTTGCTGCAGTGCAAACGGCGTTGCCGAATAAGCGGAAGTACACAAGCATGGATGAGAAGTACACACGCATGCATGGCTAGGACGTCTGCACCCTCTGTATGGCTGGTATGAATCGACTCACTGCCGTTTGTTAGCGGGTTTTACGACGAATGTCATTGTATGCTGCTGTTCGCCGCTACTTCGCATGTTTCTTTTTGCCCTCGGCAGCAGCCTATTTAGAATGCGAAAGTTACAAGGGGGACCGGAGTTCCTGAAAGCCTGAGAGCCGTACAAGAGACCCAATCGCTAGCCTATTTAGCCCGTTAGTAGGAAGAGCGTCATTGTACGGCTGCGCTCATATGCATTTGACGCAGCCCGAGCGCCTGGCAATGAAAATGCGGGTGCATTAGGTACGGAACGTGATCACCTGTGGTAAGCACAAAATCGCTGCGCCGAAGGACGCTGGAAGACGGAGGGACCACGCTAGCTCGCGTTAGTGTACGTCAGAGCTCGTAAACTTTTAACACGGCCAAGGCGCCTGGCATGGAATGTGCGGGTGCAATAGGCACGGAAGCTGATCATCGATGTTCAGGGCGAAACCGCAGCGCGGAAGGATGCAGGAAGACGGAGAGAACGTACTAACTGCAGATTGGACGGAGGAATACGGAGGGACCGCAATTGTGGGAGACGCCGCTGTGTTGTGAACGGGCCGCAGCGGCAAAAAACACATGAAGAAAACGGCGGTGAAGAACATAATCTAATTGTGCGTAGGAAAATAGGCGATGCCACAAGTGCAAAGCGGTTATACAACCAACTGTAGCCTCAGGCCCCTGACCTCTTTCCCAACATCTGCTTACCAGATCCCTAAACGGTACCTGTTCATTTCTTAGCAATCCAAACTGGGCTAAAGCAAGAGAAGGCAGTGCTAGGTGTGCGGCACATAGTAACGGTCGATGAACTGTAGCCTGCTGCGGCTGTCCTTTTCTTAACGTTTTGTGTTTGTGACACTCTACCGCCTCCCATCCCCTTTGCTTTGCCCTTACTGAAATTTCCTATGGGTTGGTATGTTGTTTATTCCCCATCCGCTACCCACCTGCCCTCTCGCAAACGCTCTCCCATAACAAGGGGGTTCAGCTTCCTCAACGCTGGAAAAGGGCGGAGCCCCTCCTCATCAGTACAGGAACGTATTGTTACCACTGGAATGAATGCAATGCGGAAAAACATAGCCCACCAACGAATATTGAGCTAGAAGTATGATGAATGGCGATCATGTGACCAGACCAGGAGGCGCCTCATCATCTTTAGTCATCCACCTCCCTCCCCCCAGCCCAATCCGCGCTGTGCGTGAGAGGCCGTGCAGGCCAGCCCCTCCCCTAACCGTAAGTGGCAGCACAATTACGTGACGCGTTGTCGGGTGTACTAGAAGCACGGGGAGGGTGAAAAATAAGGCCCCTTCCCTAACCACAGCCATCATGACGAACCCAATGGTGAAGCCCCCTCATACAGCTATCGTCACCATTGACTGCCATATACTAGGTGCCCTTACATTTGCTTTACACCAAACCACGATTTGCTGCAAGAGCCCGTGTCGTTGCTGTACAATACAGCTGAACAATACACCATAACTTGCCTAAGAAAAGGATAACGGGCCAAGGGCTAATTTCTTTGGTGCTGGCAAGTGCGGCGTGGCCCCTGCCCCATGCCGCACACCCAGCATGCAGTCATGCACCTCGCCTGACCACCCGTCTGGCCGGTTCGTTCACGCTGCAAATGGGCCGTCGATCTTGGCCGTATCCCCATAGGCTGTGTTAGACCTTACTGCCATTATGCATGCGTGGATGGATGTTGTACATGAGGCCTCAGGCAGGACGCGTACGTGCATGTGGTTCCCGGTGTTTGAATGTGACCTGGCATAGTGCTGGCAATGCGGTTTACCTGGGACAGAAGCCTAGACATAAGCATAGCACAGCTCATTTAGTTTTAACGACCAGAGTTAGCGGGACAGGGTTGACGCGTCTTTGCGGCGGGTGTACCTGCTGTTGCTGGATGCCGTTGGGGCTTGAGTGTTGTTGTTGTTGTTAGTGGTGGTGGCTAGGGGTTGTTGATTGCTGTTTCCCGTTAACCGGATACGCAAGTTCATTAACTGGTATGTAGGTATGTAGGACCCAGGGGGGTCGACCGCAATGAACAGAACGATGTCCCAAGCCACACTTCCTGTATAGTTACGTCAGGGTAAAAAACTCAAGCTACTGCCATCGGCAAAGTGCTACAGCCTGTAATCATCAATGACTACCGTAAAGGCTATAGCCCTTACTTTAAAACGTACCACCCTCTGTACTCATACTGCACTTGCCAATAGTCCAAGCACAATTCCCGCCCATCTTCCACACACGCACTCTCTCTCCTATCCCAACTGCTTGCTCTTGTCCTATTCAACTACACGCACTCTCTCTCCTCTCACGGTATAATATCTTCCTTGAACGAGACACATAGCATGCCAGTACGGCAGCAACTCCGGCTACAAAAAAGCCGTACCAACAGCACAGTACTCCGTCGTATAACAATTTGCCTCCTTTTCTTTCCTTTTCGCTTAAGCCAGCTACGCACTCGCGCCCCTCTACACCTCACCCCTCTACACACTCACTCTATCATGCCCCTCAATGCGCTAAGCACAAGATGTAATGCACTAGGCGCATTGGATACCGCTCGTCCAAAATTCCCATGAGCCCGGGCCGTGCAACAGTCCATGCATGATACCAGACTTCAGGCCAGTACCACTTCTCAGTGGCCGGGGGTTTTCAATGGATGCGCCAGCTCTCCGAACATTAAAAAGAGCTCTACTGGAACGGTTAGGTTGGTAGGATATCATCTTCAGCTACCTGCTGTCTACTGCTGCTTGTTACTGCTCACTCCTGCTGCCTGCAGCTGCTTATGCGCGCTGCTTGCTCGGCTCCACAGCTGGATCCGCAGCCGCTGCAGCTGCTGTTGCTGGGTCTGCATCCGGGTACACGACCGCATCATATACCGCCGAGTAATCGGTGTTAGCCAAACCCCGATCAACGGTGTCCTGCAACAACGGCCATATCATCTGGTTAGAGAGCTGATGTGCAGATGTGAGCATGTGAGCAGGACGTGTAGCGGGGTACGTGAGACCTAGATAGGCTTGAAACACGTGCGTGCAGCAATGCGAACGTAGTATTGGCCGTAGGCGTGTGCTGTGCTCCTGGGTGACCCATGGGTCACCACCAGCTAAGCTGGCCACCTCACCTGCACAATGCCCCGCAGCGCCGCCAGCAGCCGTGTGTCCAGGCCAACAGCCGCCGCCTCGCTCTCAAAGAGCTTCACGTCTTTTAGCAGGTGCTGTACGGCAGACATTGGATGGCAGCCGCAGAGGGTGGGTTAAAATGGACGTGAACAACGCCCCCATCTCAGGTGCGCCCCACATCACACCACATCTCACCTTTGTCGGGAAGTTTGCTGCCCCGTAGTCCCTGTCCAGCATCTTGCCCAGCTTCTTGTCGTACGTGGGCGCGTACAGCGCGGAGGCCCGCAGAAGCGACATGAAGCGGTCCACCGGGGCGCCGGAGCGCTGAACCAGACCCAGCGAGCAGGAGAAACCCACCTGCCGGGGAAGAGGTGGGGTAAGAGGGGAGGGTCGCTCACTCTGCGTCACAAGGCCCCGTCATGTCCATAATCCCGTTCCTCACGTCCTCAGGCCCGACTCCACCCCGTCAGCAGCCGCCGCGCCCTCACGCACCGTGAGCGAGGCTATGAGCTGGTTGAGTGCCAGCTTGACCGCCGCGGCGGCCCCCACCGGACCCATGAAGTGGATGTCGGGCTCCCGGCCCAGCGCCAGCAGCAGCGGCCACACGGGGTCGCCGGGGCTGACCCGCGGGTCGGCCTCCGCGCCCACCATGATGAGCAGCGCGCCCCGCTCCGCCTCCGGCTGGCTGCCCAGCACGGGCGCCTCCACGTAGCGACCGCCCGCGGAGGAGATGTCGGAGGCCAGGCCGCGGGACTCAGCGGGACCTGGGAGAAATAGGAGGGACAACAATTAAGAGGCGCACGGGGGTATGGAAAGGTGCGGGTACGGACGTAAGGGGGCCGAAGTGTGAGAGGTTGGGTATGCTGCAAGGGAGGTGCCGGTACTGGATGCAGGAAGAGGTGCATTACGTACTATTGAAATGTTGTACGTCAGAGGACACGAGCAATATGTACGGCATGTGTACGGTATGCGCCCTACCAGTACCTTAGCTTGGACCATCCTGGAAGGTATTTGGCCCCCTTTAAGTAGCGTCAGCGCTTACCAATAGTTCCCATCTGTAGGATAGTCTTCCCCGGCAACAAGGGCCGCATTTCGTCGCTGAGGATGGTTGCACGAATGGTAGCTGCATCCGATAGAGTAAGCAAAAGAACGTCTGCAGTCGCTGCTTCTTTGAGGGAGTGGCAAACGCGAACACCGGCGTCCGGCAGGGTCGTCAGCTTATCCGATGTGGATGTCCTGTTCCATGCGGATACTTGCGCGCCCTGTGACGCAAGCCTCCTCGCAATTTTGTTTCCTACAGAACCAATAAGAGAAATTTGTGCAAAATTGTCATTCGGGTGCATAACGCAAAATTGCAGCTATGCAAGCCAGCATGAACCTTACCCATTAGCCCAACACCAATAACGGCCACTGATGCCGCCTTTTTATTTTCAATACTATCAGCAGCTGTAGCCCCCGTGGTTGCTTCTGACGCCTGCGCTTTGGCGCCAGCAACGCGCATTCGGCTAGAAGCGCGACTGCGCTGCAAGCCTAGATTCGAAGCGCTGCGGGCATGAACGTGCGCCTTCGCATTTACAGCAATGCTAGGAGGCACCAAAAGGTGCCGCAGCACTGAACGCACAGGAACTTGCAAGCTAGGGTGTCTTGTACAGTTGTTTGTTGCTTTCATCTTTGTAAATAGGCATAAAAAAACTGTTTGACCAGAATTCTGTCTCCAGATGCAGATTTGCAGCTGGACATTGAAACAAACTGCTTTAGGTAAGTAAGCAAGTACGGAAAAGCCTGCTCACTTTGCAATAACAAGCTCCGTCGCCTTACTTATAACTGACATAGCTACAACATTATGTGCTGTGATTGAAAGTGGTTAGTTGCATACCAATGGTAGCCCCGCTGACACTTTGGTAACAGTGGGAGTTGGAACAGCCATGCAAAGCGATGAGAACTTGGAACATAATGACCATCAAGATGTATCAATTATGCGCTAATATTCACAGTGCAGAGCGTAAAAGGCGACCGAATTTGTGCCATGTTAAGGTAGGATGAGAGCAGCAGCGCATTACCGGTACCATATGATGACCTTTAATTAAACGGAAATCCTGCTTAGCTAACGTTTTTCATACTATTGTACATAAGCGATGTCCATTCCTCCTTTTAACTTCGCGGCGAACGACAGCCACCGACAGGCCGTCGCGGACTTTCATCCGTTTACCTTTACTGACATGGCTAGCCTTCAGATATTGCTTTGAGCTTAACTTCGATTCCTTGTGGAAGGCCGTGCGGTTTGCGCGTTTCTCGGGTTGGAATGTCAGGGACAGGCTTGGGCGCGCGCTTGTGAAAATGCTGCTACGCATCCTGTTCTGAAGTGCACTTCACGCCTGTTCCCCTTGTCAGGCATTTATGCATAAATCTCACAGCGGGTATGCCGTGCCTGGGGTGGTGCACCGGGACGTCAAGCCGGTAAGGGGTGGGAGAGGGAAGGGGACAAGGGGGTTCAGCTTCCTCAAAGCTGGAAAAGGGCGGAGCCCCTCCTCTTCAGTACAGGAATGTATTATTACCACTGGAATGAATGCGATTACAGGGGAGTGGAACGACTCAATGGGCCTTATAGACTTGGAATGAGCACGGCATGCGCTCCTGTGACTCCACGGCACCAGATGACCTAACACGGATGTTATACGGACGCTGAACCCCCTTGTTTACTGTAGTTTTAGTGCTCGTTGCATGGCTAGACAAGCTCAGAGCCCCTTGTCCAGCCAAGGCCGGCCGCCTTGTTCACCCACGGCGTACATAGTGTCCTCACTCATTGCACACATTGTTAGGTTACGCCTGTTCAATCGCGCACTCAGTAACGTCTTATCATGCTTGATAACACCCACGCATTAGGCTACAGAACCCAAATCGACGGCGTAACTGCCACATGGGAGTGCTTTCAGGGTCCCGTAGGTCGTTTAGGTTTCACCTACATTACTAACATGATGAGGAGGTCAGGCTCGGCAATCTCGGCATCGTGCTCAGAAGGACTTCAGCCATTGCGCCCCAACATCGCATGTTAGCTTATAGGCGAGGTACCCGTTTGCATTACAGTTCATAGGCATTATGGCACACAAACCAATAGCAATGGCAGGCAACATCGTCACAAAGGATTGTGTGAGCTCAGAGTAGCACAATCGATGGAAGCAAGCATGCTGTCGCCGACTTTCACAGGTAGCCCTTTGGCGACACGCCGCTGTTTCCAATTCATTAAATACTGTTTACGGTACCAGGACAAACCATAGAGGAGCGCTAATCGGTGTTGCCGCGGTGGTCCTTTTGAATGGCTGGTCAATAAATCGTTTGTTGCGAAATTAAGTTTGTTTGGCTTCCAGTTATTTTTACTGAATACAGATAACAAATATCTATTAGGTGCAATAAATAGTTTTGTCTAGTTTGTATGTTTTGCCGTTACGGACACACGGACGGACACACGGACACACGGACACACGGACACACGGACACACGGACAGGGGCAATCCTGGGGGGCGAAGCCCCCCCGAAGCCGCTTCGCGGCGGGGGCTCCGCCCAAAAAGAGAACGGAGCGTCCCATGGGTCACACGCAAATGTTGAAGTCGTCATTGAAGGAGATGCACCGGGAGGACATTGGGGAAAGGAAGGCTGCTGGGATTGGAGGACTCTGTTTGGCGCGCCCAAGCCTGTCCCTGAACATCCCAACCTGGGTTGCATTCCTTGCGCCCTTCACCCCGCTCCCTTAGGTCAGCCCTGTACGGTGAAACCCAGCGGCTCTTGACCCTGTCCTTTACTTTCCTCACTCCTGATGCCTCCGACCCGGCCAGGAGAACCTGCTCTTCACGCCCGAATGGCGACTGATAGCTATGAAGCCCATGGGTCATGTGTGCTAGACATACTGGCTCGGAAGCCCGCAGCCGTATTGCGGAACATACTAAAATACGGTAGTCACCGTATTCTCTCTTGCTGGATGTATCCTGCTGTCCATGCTTGATCTCCTGTCTAAGGCATCACCTCGGGCAGTTCCAATGCACGCTAGCTTCTCTTCTAGCCTTGCCTGATATTCTTACCGTTTACGTGATTACAGTTACAGTATGCATGCGTGTGTAGCATGTCACGATGTCAGCACACGCCAGGGGCCAGGTCACAATCATGTCAAAGCTATGCCCTTTTCCATCAGGGCGCATCACAGGCCGCCTTTGGGGCCTGCTCTGCGTAATAAATGGTGCCCGGGTCGGCGTGCGAGCCTTCTACACACGGCTAAGGTAGCTAGCCAAAGCTCCCTTAGCCCAGAAAGGGCAGTAAATAGAATTCCTTATCATGGGTTACTGAAGTAAAGAGACCCCTACAAAGTTATGCTTAGGTTCGTACAACCCAACCTCAACGGGATCTTAAGGCAACCTGTACATACACACTCGACTTGGGACGACTCCCTTAAGAATTCACACAACCTAAATCGCACAAAACATTGATGCTTATTGCGGGAAAGAACGGCACCGACGTGAGAGATCCAGGTCGTGGGCCTTCCCGCTTAGGAAGCCTGAGCCCATCAACTGGGCTTAACGGGCTTTGGCGACCCCCCTACAACGGGGCCTGTCTTTCACCTCCTAACGACTTATTCAGCAAGTATCCGCGCTGGCATGTTTCCGACAAAGCCACGTGTGCAGACTTCAAGACGCTTGAATCACTAGGAAATGAATGAGCCATGTGAGGAAGAAAATCTCTTGTATTAACGCAGTTGCTTGCCACAAACCCCCCAGCAAAACAAGCAACCTAGCTATCAAACATGAGAACTCGCATATTAAGGAAGCGCCCAGACGTGGTATACTGTTCTTTTTAGCAGTCACAGACATGCCACCTTCAATATGAAAGGGGCTGAGCTGGCTATACAACAAACAATAGACCAACTTCAACTCCAAACGTGCTACTTCCGCTGATTTTGAGTTCAGGTCCCTAGGTTCACCGCGCCCTTGTCCATAGGCACACCACCATTCTGCCACCATAACATTGTTGCTCTTATTTTGGGTTTAAAAGTGTAAACATTCCAATGTGCTCCTAAATCTGGAACCATCTGATACCACGCCAGCTTGAACCTCAGAGGGGATATATTCAGTCCCGCGCATCATGTATGTACGAAAGGAGGCCAATCCAACGACCCTTGCTTCCATGGACCCATGCTTCCAATGATCCAACAACCCGCTTGGTGCATCGCACTTCTGCCGTCATCGCCGTTCAAACCCTAACAACCCAAGGGTAGCCCGGCCGACGGGCGCAGCAAGATGCTGTGTTGCCGCCATAACTGCATCTCTTGTCGAACAAGAACCATTACTGTAGCAACCGCAACAGCATCATCATTGAAGCTATCAGCAAAAAACACGTGGCCGCAACCCAACAATTGTTGTACCACACCGTACGGCGGATGATGTACGACACAGTGGCAGAGTAGTGGCGACGCACGTCCTGACAGGACGGTTTGCCGGTAACAGGACTTCCGGCAACGGTCGCAGTCGCAGGGTGCAGGGCGGCATACGGCTTAGGCTTCTGCTGCTCCACCTCTTCCTCCTCTTCCTCCCCATGCCGCTGCACCCAAGCTGCAGCCAGTACCGCCCTCTCTCCCAGCGATGGTGAAGCCAGGCGACCAGTGGTTGCTTCCGACCGACCCCGGGCATCGCACACCATATTTGGGACAGCGGCAGCGACAGCAGCAGCAGCAGCAGTGGTGGTTGGCGTTGCAGTAGCCTCCGCCTTACATGGCGGCACATCCTGCTCAGCACAGCCACCTGCTGGAAGGAGGCGGCCATCGCAACCCGGTCGCCGCTGCTCCTGCTGCCGCCGCCACGCCAGCAGCAGCTGCTCCACTCGAGCGAGGTACGCTGTGTAGGGACGGGCGCTGCGGCTGCGGTTGCCGTCATCATCGCCAACAGCCGCGCTTTGTCCACTTCCGCATCCAGCACCGCCACCGACGCCAACATCATTTCCACCGCCTCCGCTGCTGCTGTCATGGGTGCGTTCCCCGGCTACATCGGCCACGGCAGCGACCGTTAACGCCACATGTCCTCCTGCCGCTGCGGCCACCTGCAGCGCCGAGCGGCCGCGGTAGCGCCGGAGCACCCACTCGGGCCCCAGGCCCTCCGCCGCAGCCCATTGCAGTACAAGCTGTACGACAGGGAGACTGCCGGAGATTACGGCAAGGTGAAGGAGCGGCAGTCCGCTCTCGCAGCAATCGTTGTTACTGTCTTCGTAGGCGGCAGCTGAATGGGCTTCTTCCGGAGCAGTGACAGTAAACGTAGCAGCGCTGAGCAAAGCCCGCTTGGGCGTGGGGCTGCTGCTGACTGCACCAGCGGCGATGGCGAGGAGTGCGACGGCGTCAGCCCCGCCATCGTCACAACCTTCGGTCGGTGGAACACCATCGTGATGTAAGAGGCCGCCCTCCTCGTCGCTGCCGCTGCGGCCGTCGGTGGGACGGTGGACGCCAGCAGCAGGGAGGAGCCAAAGGTCCTCCGTCTCACCCGCAGCGGCTGCAGCGGACAGCTCATCAGCCTCCTGCAGGCTACAGCCCAGCCGCGCAAGGCAGTCCTTCACGACACTGGCGGTGTACGGCATACCTTGTTGCAGTGTGTACGACAGCAGATTGGATCCGACCAGCACCACTGTCTGCCGCTGGTGCGGGTTGGGCTGGGCCAATAGGAGCTGCAGCTCGGTGGAGAGGTCAATGCTGCCTGCAAGCAGCTGTGCAGCTGCCCACGCGGCCGAAGCCGCCGCAGGCGGTGATCTGCCAAGCGTCGCTGCTGCCTGTGCCTCAGCCTCAGGGTCCCCTAGGCCGTCACATGAGGTGCCATCGCTGCCCTCGACACCGCTGCTGACACCAACTGCCGTACCCTGTGACGCCGTGTAGAGCTCCAGCATACCCAGATCCGCAAAGACCTGCCGTACATCATCACCATCTGGCACATCATCTCCGTCTTCGTCTGCCGCAGTCGTCACCGCCGCTGATATCACCGCCGTGCCGTTGGGGTCAGCGGCAGCCCTGCCAGCCATCACAGCAAGACCGCACAACTCCGCCGCTATGGCTGCTGCTGCTGTTGCTGGTGACGCTGATGGTGCTGGTGATGACAGTGGCTGAGTCTCATGTACGACAATTACAGGCACCTGGCAGATCTCGTACATGCCGTACCAAAGCTCCAAGGAGAGCGCCGCCAGGCGACAGGAGGCGGCCTCGAGGGCCTCCCGACAGCCGCTCACGGCGAGGGTGATGCGGACGGTGGCGGCACTGCCGGGGCCGCTGCTGTCGGTGGCGTAGTCCTGAGAACCCAAGACTTGAACCTGCGCGGCAGAAAACATGATGACAGGATCGGTAGGCAGTGAGAGACGCACCTGTCATAGAACCAATTGCCAAGCGTTCCGGCATGTAATGACCTGGCGTTATCCTTCCGTAGAGGCGCTAAAGCGTTGTCCTTTAATATTGCAACTGACAGAAACGGGACCGAACGCAACAACTCTGGCCCATCGACTCATCAACTGCACATGAGCAACCCACACGTGCAACCCACACGTGCCACCTTTTTCCTCTATTGATACCCCAACCCGGCACCCCCATCCCCATCACAGACAACCCATGCCCCCCACCTGCTGCACCGCCACCGGCAGGCTCCTGCCCAGGCAGTTCGCCACCAGCTGCCACCCCTCCGCCCCGCCATGCAGGTGCCCTTGCTCCGGGTGCTGGCCCAGCTGCCACTGCTGCTTCCGCAACAGCTCCTCCTCCTCACCTCCTCCTTGCTGGGCCTGCTGCTGCTGCTGCCCCGACTCCCCCCTGCTTGCAGCCATGCAGCTGCACGGCGGCAACTCCGCCGCCAGCCCCTCTCGCAGTTGTGCGGCGAGCCACTCCGCCGCCTCCCTGTCCCCAACCTCCAGCAACAGGGTCAGGACCAGCGGACACTCCGCCGCGACGGGAGGACGCTCGAGTGCGACATCCAAGGCCGCCGTAACGGCAGCGGCGGGAGTCGCGGCAGCGGCAGCAGGTACGACGACAGCGGGGCAGGCGGCGGACATCCGCAGACCACCTTGTCGCAAGCAGTAGCCGAATCGCTGCCATGTAGCAGTGACCCGTGGGTCATCATGCGGCATGCCGCCCGCACCCATGTCACCCTTGCAGTCCGTGGCGAACTCGTCTGCTGCTGCTAGAGCCGCTGCAGGTGCCGGCTGCCAGCCAAGCTGCTGAGAAAGCTCGGGTAACCTCGAAGCGATCCATTCCTTGTCGGATTCATCGTACGACAAATTGTACGACAGGCTGCCTCCCAGGGTAATCAAGATCTCATTGCCGCTGCCGCCACCGTGCGAGGTTGATGGAGGCGGCGGCGGCACGAGTAGAGCCACCTCCCGCGCCACATGCTCCGCCAATGCAGCGGGAGCGCTACGCTTGCCCCGATGGCAGCCGCGCTCCGGTGCAGTTGCCTCCATCCTGGCAATACCAGCACCGCCATCCCCCTCTTCATCCTCGCCAGCATTCATCTCCGTCGTACCAATGTACGACAGCCAACCGTCGTACAGCCCACCACCCGCCTCCACCTCCGCCCCAATTGTCGTCAACGCCCCCAATCCCGCACCCATGCGCCCGTATAGCGTCATGCCATGACGCCCTGCGGCACCACCACCATCCCCCACCTCTGTTGTCATCGTTGCTGTACCTGCACCTGTACCTGTACGGCCCCGCCTCGCCGTCGTCGCCAGCAGTTCGAGTTGCACGAGCATGCAGCCCGGTCGCACCGCCGCGCCGACCACCATGTAGCCCGAGCCGCTGGCCAGGGCCTCATTGAGGGACTCCAGCAGCCCGCCACCGCCGCCATTGTGTACGATGCCGGCGCTACCTCCTGAGGAGGCGACAGCGGAGAGGAGCAGGTCGCCGGGCTGCGCCCAGGGCACCTTGATGCTAAGGCTGAGGTGGTGGTGAGGTGAGCCGGTGTGGTGGTGGTGGGGCAGGTGGTGCTGCTGCTGGTGGTGAGGCTGGTGGTGAAGGTGATGTTGGTGTTGAGGCACCTGCTGCTGCTGTGCGGCCCAGTGGCCGCTGCGCCGCAACGAGGGCTGGTGCTGGTGGTGGTGCTGCTGCTGCGCATGCAGGTGGGGGGCGTCATGATGATGAGGCACAGCACCCGCCACAAACTCGCAACCGGCGTCTGCAGGCGTGCCCAGCAGCGGCCCTTGCATTTGCATCTGCAGCGGCAGGGTGCGGTCCGCGGGTCGGTAGCCCCGGTACCGCAGCCGCCTGCCGCCCACCCGCAGCGTCCTCTCATGCAGCTCCATCACCACCTGGTGGGGGCGGAGGAGGGAGACCAGCAGTGGTTTAGGGGGGCAGCGGAAGAGTGGAGTGTGGCTGCAGGCTGCGGTGGACGCTGGACTCATTACGACATTAGAGAGACTGCTCACACTTCAGGAAAGCAGGAATGGCCGCCTGTCTGGACTGAGCCCTGGCTATTTGTGCATACGCGGAACGGGTCGTTGAGGCGTTTTACACAGGGCTCCACTCACTTGCGTGTTGGGCGGCGGGAAGGGCGCATCCTCCACAATTGTGCAGCGACTGAGGCCCACGGGAGCCTTCAGGCTGCCGCCCACAACACCGCCACTGCCGCCACTGGTGACGCCACAGCCGCCGACACCGCCTCCGTTACCGCGCTTGGATGAGCCTAAGTGCTGGGTTGCTGGTGCTGCGGTGGCGGAAGCTGGGGTAGCCTTGAGAAGAGCTGTGGCTTGTGCAGCTGCTGCAGTGTTGGGCGTCGGTGTCGGCCTCGTGGTCGCGGTTGTTCGTGTTGCTGAAATGGTTGGTGCGGTGGTTGTAGCTTGCTGTGCCAATGTAGTAGCAACCACGCTATCCATACTGGTACCAGACGCGTGTTGCTGTGAGCATCCTGACAGTTGTGACTCGGCTTCCCGCCGCGGTTCGGGCTCGCATTTATCCTTTAGGCAGCTAGCTGGCGTTAACGTGCCTGTGAACGGGTTTTTAGTGTGGTTCAGTGCTGCTTTCTCAGGCTTGTTCACGCAAGTAACAAAACGACATCTTCCAACCGCTGCTCGGAATTGGCAAAGCAACGCGAGCATATAACGATTTGTTTTAGGCTTGGTCCTTAATATGCGGCTGTTTGTACCCATAGCGCTTACCTGGAAGGGCCTTGGGTAGTAGGAGAAGTGGCAGCAAGACCGCCGATAGAAATGCCGCAAACGCGGATATGTAACTAAAGAGGCTGCCGAAAAGATATAGTGCCCATGCTATGGCATACAGTAATGCCTGTGATGCCAAGAGGTGCACAAGCACCCTTGGCAACGGACCGCCCGGCCAGGCGGAAGCGCCGGCTAGCGCTGCCGAGTCCCAAGGTCCAGCTGGTTGACAGCCCATAACCTAAGTGTCTACGCATGAGCGTTTACGCATGGCTGAGGTGGTGAGGTAACCCCCGTTGCAGTTAAGCTTGCTGGCACTTAGGCTGTTATATGTTGTGATTGAAATCCCATATAGCGCAAAGTATTCAATTCACGTTTGAGCCCAAACCGGGACCTTCGATCGCCTAGTCATCGGCTATTCACATAGTGAACTCTGACTGTACGACGTGGTGTTGCGAAAACACGGAAAGCTGGAACCTCAGCAAAACATGTAGCCTATCCGCGCCGTGTCGCGGCGCATGCGATGTTCGCGTACGCGTTGTAACGATCCAGTCGAGCGCGCACCCAGCAACAGCTCCAGCTAACATATTGCAGTTCTGTGTGTGGCGTACAGCTTTTCCGAGAGTATTGTGGTCCTTTCCTTGTTTAGGCTACTATCGTGATGTTTTTCCTCGCCTCGCTCTTGGAAACCATGGAAATCTGCAAGCTTACTCCTGGCTTGCAGTTCTTGCCAGATACCCACTACACCGTGCACTACACTTCAACGGATAGTATTCTAAGTGATAACTCAAAGCTTTTCTGCGAAAGCTTAGGTGAACACTCCAAAATTGCCCGACATGCAAACATAACCGTAAGTGTTTGTCCATCCCGAATTCCGAAAGTCGCATTCGAGACTCCGGCTAAAGCACGGCCCCTGTCCGTGTATGTGTTCCACACTTTGTACGTGCCCCTTGAGTTCAAAGTTCAACCCGACCTGTGACTCAGGCGCTCAGTCAGCTCATTACGTAACCTAACAGCTCGGGACGCCTCTTCCAAAGGGTTCAAGCCACCATGAAACCTTGTAATAGCTACTCTTAACGCAGCTTTCATCCAAGCTTGGTTGGAGTTGTTCTTTGCTCCTTCCAGGCCGCTCCGAACACCGTGCGAACCATGGGTCGGAAGGGCAGGACAAACGGGTCTCGCGGGATCCGAACGACAAGCCGCATCGTTTTAAAACAGCCATCATCTGTTATTAAAGTAACTTACAGGGTTGGAAATACATCGAGAATAGCCTTTCAAACAAAGCGTGGGCAAAGCATAAGCAATTCCCAACGTGTTGGGATGAGTAGATGTCCACACGGACCGCTTCTGCAACGTGCAAGTCGCTTTCTCCAATCCGTGCCCTTCTGAGCCCTGCCAGCACGTTTCTAAACCGCCCAAGCACCAGCCCACTTCCTCTTCTTTCTGTTTCAAGCACTAGCAACACCACCACTACAGCACCTTTCAATAGGACAACCCGCACCAGTGCCGCCGCCAGCAGCAGCACTACCAGCATGCCGACCCGCGGCAGCAGGCGTCGAGGCAGCGGTGGCAACGGCGGCGGCCATTTCGACGAGGCGGCGGCACTGGATGCCGTACGACGCAATGCGGTCACGGCGGCGAATCGTACGGCACTGAATCGCTCGCTGCTGGATCTGATTCCGGAACATGCGCGGTTTGTGATGATTGGGGAGGCTTCCCATGGCACGAAAGAGTTCTATGAGCAGGTCAGGAGGGCGGGAGGTCAGGAGGTCAGGAGGGCGGATGGATGGACGCCTCCGCCTGATTCTTTTAATCTTGGCATCCCCCGTGCTTTATGACACGGTAGCCTTGTCGCCCTGGCCCAGCGTCGGAACCACTCCTCATTGGCAGCGTCGGAACCAGCCTGCCTACCCAATCGGCTGCCGCCCCGAAGCCTCTCGTTTCTCATCACCTTGGCATCTAGTTTGCCACTATCGTTTCGCACGTTGGGAAATCATCCTTTCCCCTCCCTTTCTCCCCTCCCTCCCCCTCAGTTACCGATAGTTGTTTACCTATCCCCATTGCTCTGCCCCAACCTGTGGCTTTCTATGGTTCGGTATGGTCTTTGACCCCACCCCCGCAGCGAGCCGAGCTGACTCAGCTGCTCATCCGCGAGCGCGGCTTCACGGCGGTGGTGGTGGAGAGCGACTGGCCGGACGCCTTCAGGGTCAACCGCTACGTGCGCGGACTGGGGCCGGGGGCGGGGCGGCGCGGCAAGGCGGATGCAAGCGCCCGGGAGGCCCTGGGGGACTACCATGTAGGAGGGGGCGGGGGGGAGGGAAGGGGGCATGAGAAAGTTGGAGGGCTGGGGGCCTAATGAGGCAATGGGATTGGAACAAATAAAGTTACCTGAGTGTTCCCTAATGCCCCAAGACGCAAGCCAGACACCAACGCTCCCTTCCCTGCTTTACCCTTCCCGCCCCGCCCCCACCTAACAACAGCGCTTCCCCCGCTGGATGTGGCGCAACACCAGCGTGGCCGCATTCGTGGAGTGGCTCCGAAACCACAATCTGACTGCCGTACATCCGGGCGCCGACAGCGCCACCGACCCACGGGCCGCTGCCGCCCGCCGCGGCTTCTACGGCATGGACGTGTACTCGCTGCACAGCTCGGCAGAGGCAGTGCTGGGGTGGGTGAGGGGCAGGAGGAGGAGGGGGAAGAGGAGGGGGAAGAGGAGGGTATGGTGAGGGAGGAAAGAAGGTGCGAATATGAGAGGACGCGGAGGGGCAATCTTGAGGGAAAGGGGCTCTGGAAGCTGCTGCCTCCACGTCAGTGCTGAATCCCTTTTCCATCCGGTGCCCAACCCTGCCTTCCCCCCGGGTCTGACCCATGGGTCGCAGCTACCTCCGCCAGGCCGACCCCGCCACCGCGCGTACCGTGGAGGCGCGCTACCGCTGCTTCGACAGGTACGGCACTCGTGCCCCCGTTTGGCTCCAACGGGGGGCCGGTACATGGCCACTATTTTAGCAGTCATCCATGCGTTCATAGTTCATCCAAGACACTAGGGGTCAAGCGTCAAAGAGGATTGGGTTTTCCCCCTGCAGCCACAGGGTCTAGACTTGAGGAACCCTAACCCACGTGCTACCCCGACCCCCGTACGGCACTGTACGGAGCTATAGCTGAACCCATCACCCAAGCTGTACGTGCTGCCTCCTGTCGTAACACAGGTACGGCGCTGACGCCCAGAGCTACGGCCTGGCCACTTCAATGTTCCACAAGGTACGACATTACGTAAAAACCCGCATGGGGGGGATGAATGAGAAAAGGGGGGGGATATAAATGAGCGCCTTTGGATGAGGATTTTCACCGAGCAAACAGGCTGGAAACAAAAAGGGCCGTCCTTGACTTGTGCTCATCCTACTTGCTCGAGTTTGCAGTACGGCATCAGGGCATCTTGGCAGTACGGCAGACCCTTTTCCCCGCCCCTTCCTCTCCCCACTGAAATATCCGTACGGAATACACAAAGGCTAGCTGCGAGGACAGTGTCAAGCGGGCGCTGTACGACATCCGCCGCAAGGTGGAGACGTATCGCGCCGAGCCGGATGGGCCCTCCAGCCAGGAGGAGGCGCTGGCGGTGGGAGCGGGGTGGGGTGTGTGTTTGTAGTGGTGGGGTGTGGGGTTGGGGTTGGGGTTTGCGGGGTTGGAGTGGTGGGGTTGGGGAGTGGGAGGTTGGATTGTTCTTCGGTGCTGGTAGCCTTCCTTGCTGGTATTCCCCTTCAAGGCATACCGCACACCGGTCGCCCCCGCTGCCCCGCCCCCCTCCCCCCTCACGCCAGGTGGAGGCCAATGCAATGGTGGTGTCCGGAGCGGAGGCATAGTGAGACGCCGGGGGAAAACGGAGGGGTACAGCCACCGGGGGGGGGTTGTATAGGATAGGGGGAAAGCTGGGACACATGCCGCCGACTCGCAGCAAGAGATCTTCGACGCACATGCCCCACCCATGCGGACCCCATGTGCCTCTCCCCTCCTCCCCACCCCTCCTCCCCTTTTCCCCCACCCTCCCACCTCCCATGCCCGCACGCACGCAGCTACCGAAACATGTTCACGCGCGACGAGGTCACCTGGAACCTGCGAGACAGCCACTTCTTCGCCACTGTGAAGCTGCTGGAGCGACACCTGGCGCAGCTGCAGAGCCTGGCGCAGGAGGCGGCGGAGGGGGGAGCAGCAGGCGGGCAGGCAGAGGCGCCCAAGCCCAAGATGGTAAGATGCGGCGCTGAATGCACACTGCGGCACCCTGCATGTGCTGGGGCGGGGTGCGAGGGGTCTCTCTTCCGGACCCCGCCTGCCTGCCTGCCTGCCTGCCTGACCATCACAAGGACCATCACCCTAACCCTTCCGCCTTGCCCCGCCCCTCCCCTACCAATCGGGCGAGTTCCTGTGGTCACACCCCTCCACCTCCGCCTGTGGTTTTCTATTGCATGGTATGCGGTCTTTGGTATCCCCCTCCCCCCCTGCCCCCCTGCCCCTTCCCCCGCCCGCAGATCCTGTGGGCTCACAACAGCCACCTGGGTGATGCGCGCTTCACGGACGCGGGCTGGCGGCGCGGGCAGCTCAACATCGGGCAGCTGCTGCGGCAGTCGTACGGGGAGGAGGTGGTGGGGGTGGGCTTCACCACACACACAGGTACGGCATCGTACAGGGGTGTAACAGCTGTTAACACAGGTACGGCGGCACACGGCATTCCGCACATCCGTACAGATTGTACTGTACGGCATGGCACGCCACTGCCTGACACGCTGCATGACCCCCACCCCAACAACATTAGACCTTAACGTGTGACAATTCATTGGTCAGAAAGAAGAAAGATAGGCGTAAGGGGAACCCATTCGGTCTCATGGTAGGCCAGGTGTGCGCTGCGCATACAAGACTGGTACGGTGCGCGCGCAAGTTTCCCCAACCCGCACCATTACCAGTAAAACAACCGGTAACACGTGCCTTACCTCCTCCTCCTCTTCTTCCTCCTCCCTCTTTTCCTCCTCCCTCTTTTCCTCCTCCCTCTTTTCCTCCTCCCTCTTTTCCTCCTCCCCTCCTCCTTCTCCTCCTCCCCTCCTCCTCTTCCTCTTCCTCCTCCTCCCCCCGCCAGGCTACGTGTCCGCCGCGGACGACTGGGGCGAGCACGTGCAGCACAAGGCCGTGCGCCCCTCGCTGCCCGGCTCCTACGAGCACCTCCTACACCGGGCGGGGCTGCCCCTGTTCGGACTGGACCTGCGCCCACCCGAGATGCAGGAGGCGCTCAAGGTACGGCAGCGGGCCTGCGGGCCGCTCAAAAGCGGGGTTAGCAGGGTTGGTGTACGGCGGCGGCGGTGTATACGGCGCGGGGCTGCAAGGCGGCGTGAAAAAGGGGCTACCGGTGCCCATCCTACCTGCCCTGTGCTGCTCTCCCTCCAGCTGTCCTCCCGTCCTCCCTTCTTCTTCCGCCTCAACGGCTCCCTCCGCTGTTCTGTCGCTCCCCTCCTGCCCTGCCCTTCCCCCTTATTCAGGGCCCGCTGCTGGAGCGCGCTATCGGGGTGGTGTACCGACCCGACACGGAGCTGCAGTCGCACTACTTTGATGCGGGTGAGGGGGGTTTCATAGGGATACATCTTCCGCATATCCGGGTTGGGGGGTGTAGCGGGGGGGGGGCTAGCTGGCTTGGAGGTTAAGGAGGTGCAGAAGGGCATGCAAAGGGCCATGAGAGGGTTCACAGCGTGAGAGGTACAGGTCGTTGGGAGGACGGCAAGCCTGCATTGCGTGGCCCCACCATCAATTTTTGTCCTTCTTGGTAGTAACCTTTCCTCTACTCTCCCCTCTACCTCCTCCCCCTCTCCCCCACAGAGCTGCCCCGCCAGTTCGATCTGCTGATCCATGCCGAGGTCACCTCCGCCGTACAGCCGCTGGAGCCGGGAGACGAGTGGGCGCCGGAGGAGCTGGAGGAGACCAAGGGGGACATGCCGGATCTGTGGCCCAGCGGGGTGTGAGGAGGGAAAAGAAGAACACCGGTACCCAATGTGCTGAATGAGAGTGGCAAACAACACGAAACGTTTCTGGTGTGAGGGGGAATGCAGGGAGGAGCAGCAGGATGAGGAAGGAAGGGGCAGGACGGCTGTGATTGTAGATGCGTCGTAGCCGCTGTGTGCTCGTGTGTGTTAAGAAAACTGGCCGCGAGTCGGAACATACTGTGACTGCCGGAAGATGAAGTCCCCACAGAAACGCCATAGGAGCCGGGGAGTGTGTGAGTCGCCAACAGCAAATGGCGGTTGCACTGGGGAATTATAGTAATAGGTACCGGGGGCATTTGCGCTTGCATTGTGTCCTGCTCGCTGTTCCAGGGGGCCGTGGGCAATCGCGGTTCGAGAGAGAGCAAAAAGGTCACCCGGGGGATGATGAAAAGGGCGGGGCTTGGGGTTGAGGAGGAGGAGGAGGGGTTGTCGGTTGCTGCAACAGTTGCAAGGGATGTACCTCGCAAGTCCCAACCGCCGGCGAACAATGCTGAATGGGCTGTACACGGTATACGACACGCGGCAATGCATAAACATACCTACATCTACAACATTCTGCCTAGGTAACAATTGCTGTGTATGGCAGAACATGTAGAGGACTTGGCATGTGGAGGCGGTAGCCGGTTCCTGGCCGCCACCATGACAGCTGCTCAACCGAGCTGTGACGTCCGGGCTCGCGCCCACCTGGTCCATACATGCATAATTGCATAACGGTTGAACAACAACGTTGTAAACCTTGGGTGCAAATGAGGCGAGGGCGGCAAGTGGACACTTGGGGTAACGCCGGGGAGGGGCGAGGACCCTAGTTTGGTTGCAGGCAGGCGTTCGGCTGAACCCTTGCCTCTGCCTGCAACCCTCCCGACTGGGTTACAGAGCCGCATGGGCGCAGCCCCGGGTTGGGTTCCAGATACCTGAAACCAGACAGTGGGCGGGGCCCCATGCCCTGCTGCCTTCTCTTGCCAAACTGCCGAACGGATTGGCTTCACAGGATGGCAGTCAGGTTTGAGGGCCGTCCCAAGCAGTCGTGCCCCAGCACTTAAGCGCTTACTGCACATTCGTGCAAGAATGAAATGTTCGGGTTTCGGTCAAATGAAAACATAGGGACACTGGACACATCGCTGCAATGCTCGCTCAGTCACACGCATACACGCATCTAAACATATCACACGCGTCTAAGTATACGTACGACGGTACTTTCCAACCTTTCACCCATGCCTTGGCATATACCGGTAGAGCATCCGGTCCTTGCCCACACTCCCCGACCTTTGCTTCAGAAGAGCTCTAGTACACGGCTGCATTGCTACCCGCCTACCCGCAGACCGTCCCCTGGTGCCCTCGAGCTGCCTCCGTTGGTTCCCACTACTACCCTCCACTACACCTTAATTATCGCAAGGTTGCCGTCCTCCTATGCATGACGCTGTTTCGGGCACTGCCGCGCATCCGCCCAAACCGCTGTACGTCTAGGAAGTGGGGTGCATGCATGCATGCATGCAGCATGCATAGCCCCGGGCATGCCTCCGAACCCCTATCCCAGTGGTTGGCCGCTTGACCCCATACGGCCCCGCAACTTCAGCGCACTTCGCACAACCACGTGCTCCTGTAACACAACCGCAAGCACGCCCCCAGCGCCCCACACTGGCGTACTGCTGCCCCGCTCCTAACCACCGCCCCCAGCGCCCAGTAACTATATATCTGAGTTACTGAGGGCGCCAACCCCCCAAAGCGCCGTGAGAGCGGGGTGCCCCTATGTACGCCCACGCCTCAGCAACCAGCTACGCAGCTGCTCCTCGGCGGCTCCTAGCAGGCCGGGAGGTCTCACCAGGCTCTGCTGCTGCCACCGCCACCGAGGAAGACGCAGCAGCAGCAGCCAGGCGCTGCGCTCGGCCGCCGGCTACAGCGGCCGACGGCGCAGCCCCTGCCGCTGCTCCTCCTTTGGTGTTGCCAGCTGGTCCCCTCACCGCCGCTGCTGCAGATGCAGCAGTGGCACCGCCGCTTGTCGCTGCTGCCGCTGCGAAGCAACGTACGTTGAGAGCGTGGCGCCGCAGCCAGGCCTGCACCTCCCCACCCAGCAGCTCCTGCAGCGCAGCGCTGATAGCCTCGCCGTCGCGCAGCCCAGCCACTGCTGCTGCGGGTGTGGAGGCGGGGCGGTAGCGGCGGGAGCGCTGGCGGGCAGCGATAGCGGAGCCCAGCACCACCTGAAGAGTGTCAAACGAGGGCAAAAAAGTGTGTACGGCAGGGCACTAATGACAGCAGCAACAGCTGTCTAGTGATATACGGTACCACTTGACATGCATGCAGGTGCACAGCCCTTGGGTCTCGTAACTGCCCGCCAACTACCAGTACATCTTCTGGAGCAGCAAGAGCCCGCTACGCAACCCGCCGTCCCCCCCAAGCTGACCCAACAGCCACCGCACCCGAACACCCCCTCACATGCCCAGCCCAGCCCTGCCCTACCTTGGCCTCCTCCAACTCCGCCACCAGAGACGCGCTCAGCAGCGGCCGCAACACCTCCGCCAGGAAGGCCGCATCCGCCCAGAGCTGCACAACCTGCTCCACACTGGCACCACCGCCTCCGCTGCCAGCCTGGTGTTTGCTGCCGGATGCGGTCCTGGCAGCGGCGGTGCTGGGGGCGTGTGTTGCCGCGGCCGCCAGCAGCTGGTGAGCTCGCCCCAGCTGCTCCACCAGGTGCTCAGCCAGGGCCTCCATGAAGGAACGCAGGTTGCCTGAACAGGCAGTTGACGGCAAGGGGGAGTACCGGCATACAGGTTGGAATGTGTTTCACGGGCGGCTTGGCGGGAAAGGAAGCACTGGTGTTGCGTCAGCAGCAGCGGCAACATGGATGCAGCTAGTTATTCAGCGCCCAAAAGGTTGTTGGCTGTTGCGATGCCCAGCAACCCCAAAGGCCGCTGTCCCCAACGCGCCCATGCGCTCTCCCCTGCCCCGCCCCTCCCAGCCCACTCACTCGGCGAGTACGCCAGCGCCTCATTGTGTGTCGCCGTCAGCAGCTGCAGCAGCGCACAGCACCCGCCACTTGGACCCGCGGGGCCCGCAAGCAGCGGCGCGCCTCCTCCTGCTCCTCCCGCTTCAGCCACTGCTGCTGCTGGCTGCTGCTGCAGGGACGCTTGGCCATGCTGCGGCCCCGCTGTCTCCTCCGCCACGTATCGCCGCACTGCGGCCGCCAGGGTGGCTTCCTTTCGGGCTAGGTAGGTGGCGCCCAGGGCTTCGTTGGCGCGGCGCATGGAGGAGGTGAGGTCACGCAACCGCCGGGAGCAGGTGGATGCGGCGTCGGGCGTGGCTGGGACGAGAGGCGAGAAGGCGGCATTAAGAGGAAGAAAGGAAAGAAGGGAGCATAGCGTATGTAGGGGAGGCAAGCGAAGACCGTTAGGCAATGGGGTGGAGGCAAGAGGGCAAGGAGAAACCTAGCCTAATGCCATTCGTGTGCATGTGAGAAGCTCTCAACCCTGCGTTGGACCCTGCCATCCCTTCCGTACACAAGCAATGCCCACACCAAGTTACATCAAGGCTCTACTCACGAGCCAGAATTCGACGGTAGCGTTCCACCACTCCCGGCATGACGCGCGTGCGAATCACCGCCGAGTTGCTAATCACCAACAGCAGCCGCACGTCCTCGCCGCTGCCGCTTGTGGCTGCGGCCCAAAGCGACCCACGGGTCACTGTCCCGTCGTCAGCAATGCCGCCTCCGCTAATGGCGCCTTGCGTGTCGTCACCGGCATCGTTGTTGCTACGGGGGCTGCTTCCGCCTTCGGACAGTGCGAAGGTTACCCGGCGCCTGTTGGGTCCGGCCGCAGCATGGGCGCCATCGCCTGCACCTGAACCAGCTGCTGACCTGAAGTCCAGGAAGGGCAGAGCGTGCATGGAGAGCGTGAAGGGCATGAAGAGCATAAGGACTTCGGAGCTGAGAATTGCAGCATTCCAGGTGCATCGAGCGGCGTAAACACAGCGACGATGAATCCACGCTGCTCGGGGTCACAATGCTGGGCGCTCCCAGCTACCTGAAACCATGTTTTACGGTAGCTGCAGCCATGTTTCCCACCCTCACCGTCCAGGTGTCCTGCCGTACAGTCCACGCGCGTACTCGGCCATCGCCTCGCTGAGCAGCGAAAAGCATGCGAACACCGAGCTCTGCGGTACAACGACGTAACATGGTATTGAAGGTGCACAGGATGTAAAAGCCACCCCCATCGTAACCAGCCAACCAGCCAGCCGTCATAGCCCCCCTCCCACAACCCGTCCCCCACCCCGCCCACCCACCTGCATGGGCTTCCACCCCGGCTCCGGCGGCACCTCCTCCACGCCCCCCGCCGCCTCCACTACCGCCCGCAGCGGCCAGTGGAAGTGCAGCAGCGCCACTCCCAGCTCCTCCTGAGAGAGGAGACAGAGGGGAAGCGGGGGAGCAGCGGGGAGCGGAGAAGCAGGGCAGTGGGGAGCAGCGGGGTAGCAGGCGGTCAAAGGATGTCAACACAGGGCAGCAAAGCCCAGCGCAGCACGACACGGCAGGCAGGGCACGAGGCGGACAGCAACGGGAGACCCGGATGCGACACAGCAGGGGCAGGATCTCGCAAGGTGATACATCTAGGGGCTATGGACAGGGGAGGCGATCGAAGCGCCTTGCGTACGGCAGCTCCGCCTCCCCCCATCCAGCACTCCATGTGGCCTACTCACCCCCGCCATACACACACAAGCAAGCACGCTCCGCCTCACCTCCAGCCTGCGAGGCAGCACGGTGAGGGGTTGCTGGTCCGCCGCCAGCAAGTCTAACCGGAAATCATCCGCCGCCAGTAGCCGCCCCGGCAGCTCCCCCAGCTGCCGCCCCAGCAGCCGCACGTGCGACCCCAGCGCCGCCAACACGCCGCCACGCAGGACGGCAAGCGTGCGGCCGGACACGCCCACTCGCCGCAGCGAGGACCACAGGTGGCATGCGTCCTTGATGAGCAGGGGGAGGCCCGGCTGCATGGCGCCCGCACGCACTAGCGACTGGACTGCCCGCCTGGTGGCGAGGGAGTGGCAGAGGTTTGGAGGGTCAGCAGGGGAGATTCAAGTGGGTTGAGTTATAGGCATGGACCCTCCCGAAGCCGTAATATGCGGCCAGGTCATAAACAAGCCGACCATGGTCGTGGTCATTGCAAAAACGTGTTTATAAAAACACGCACCGGTACCCAGAAGTGCTTCTAGTTGTAACGGCAAACAACTGCTCAACCAAACCCGCACATCCAACGACCCCTCCTCACCTTAAACGCGAGACGTACTTGCCACACAGCGACTCCACCATCCGGCGTGCCAGCGAAGTCCCGCGCTGCAACCCCTCCCTGGACTGCTCGTCCAAGTCCGCATGGCTGCCGTACTTTGGGCTGTTGCATGTGGCCCATAGCCCCGGCAGGCTCCACAGCAACAGCGCCGAAACCGAACAAACGTACGACACCCACTGCCGCTGCCCCGGCGTTAGCTGTGGTTCCGGAGCATGCGCTGAAGCCGGAAGCTGCTGCGGCAGCAACAGGTCGCTAGCGCTAGCGCTGCCGCCACCTCCCATTAGCATAGACCTGCCGTTCACAACATCGTCGTACAATCCGAAACCTGTGAGAACAGTAGAGGCGGCGGGGGGCACGCCACCGGACGACCCCCCCGGGTCCTGTACGAGCCGAGGAAGCTCCCTGCGAATATGGTACGGCAGAGGTGCCGTACCGAGAGAGGACGCAGAAGCTGTTGCTGCAGCTGCCCCTGCGTACTGGTCTGATACGCCTGGCCAGAGCAGAAACACCGCCTCAGCTGCCTCGGCCTCCTCATCCAAACTGTCACCATCCTCCTCATCGTCCTCATCACCCTCTTCTGTGCCCTCCCCGCCACCTGCCTCCAGCTCCGCAGCCGTCCTGCCCTCTCCATCCGTCCTGCCGTTGCGCTGCCCCTGTCCCGTCCCCTGGCCAGATGAATCCGCCGTGGCCTTGGCTCCCACGGAAGCGATGGACGCCTGCAGGGAGGCTATCGCGCTAGCAGCAGGCCGCATTTGCTGCGACAGGGTTGAGGACGCGCCGGCGCCGGAGCTGCTGCTGCTGCTTCCGGCGCCTGCAGGGCCCGCTGTTGCCTTCATCCAGAGGGTCACCAGCTGCCCCAGCTGCTCCGTGTGGCGCTTGTCGCATGCCTGCTCTCGGCGGCGGGAAATGAGGGTGACACAACGACGGTGGATGACGGAGGTGAGTTTGTCCAGCACCGGTCCAGCATGTAAGGCGTGCAAGGCGGCAAAGCCATTTGCACATGGTAAAGCAACGTTATCATACATGTGGGGACACAGGGCATGCCCAGGCGCGCGACTTGGATGCAAGGCCGTACGTCGCACACGAGGGCCTGTGATTCGTACCTGGATTCGCTCCTCCACGTGGGCCGCCAGACGGCTGACATACAGTCGCATGGCGTCCTCGTCACGAGCAACCGGCAGACGCTCCTGTGGTGCGTAGTACGGGTAGGTAGTACAAACACACGTTACAGGGAGCCGGGGGAGGACAGGGCAGAGGGATGGCTACGAAGACATTTAGCAGGTGGAGGGCATACCGGTATTCCGGAGGCACGGCTGAAAGAGGCATTCCATTCGCACCCTTTCCAGTTCATATTGCGGTAGCCTCTAGCCTCGTTGGTCATCTCTGGTGAGAGCCAACAGGTGCCCCATCCTAACGATAAATACCGTCCTCGGCCCTACATCCTAGCCAGCCCCACCCACCTGCCGCACGAGTGTCATGAACAACAAGTAGTCGGGCAGGTGGTGCAGCCGTTCCTGCGTACTGTCATCGCCCCTGTCCGCTGAGCCTCCAACAGCCGACGCAGCACCGCTGGGCGTGACCGCGAACAGGCTGGCGGGGCCGTCCTGACCCATGGGTCGCCCCTCGGGTGGCGGCTCCGAAACCAGCTGCTTCACCACCATGTACACCTCGGTGATGCGCTACACAGGGTGGGAACAGGCACAGCGCGAACAGGCCATCGGATGATAAAGAATGAGAGATGCTCTTTGTAACAGCTTGGCTTGTTCGGTTTGGTAGTAGCTTCTGAAACATTCTGAGCAACTAGGCGGGAGGCAGAACGCGTAGGCAGCACTCGCTTACCTTTTCAATCTCGGCGTACAAGCTGATCCACACCCGCGCCGTCGTGGCGGTTGGTCGGATCAACATGTTGACTCGCCTGTACTCCCGAACCACCTGCAAGCCACAGTAAACCAGCCAGCCGAAACCTAAAGACACGCCCAGCTTTCCCTAAATCCTTGGTATCAAATTGCGCAACGGTGGCTTCGTGAGGTTGCCTGGCCCATCTCCCCTGCACCCGTAACAGGGTAACCTTCTTCCATTCACCTCCGCAGTCCGCACCCTACCTGCTCCAGCTCTCCCCTGCTCGCCAGCTCCAGCACCCGCTGCGGCAGGGCGAACAGGTGGTCGAAGCGCTGCAGCAGTCCCGACACGGCGCGCAGGCGGTCAGCCCGGGTGGCGCGCTCCAGGATGGGGCCAAAGGTGCGCCGAGCATTCGCCTCTACCTACGGGTGCGCCATGGGAGGGAGGGGGGTGTCTGAGTGGTGGAAAGGCGGCCGCGGAGTTGGCAGCAGCGCATGGGCATGCGGGAGGCTTGGGTTTGGGGGTCGGTTGCCGAACGATTGCGAAGCATAGAGCAGCCATGACCGCCACGGCGGCATCAGGTGTTCACAGCTGATGTCGCCAAGCGTCGACTGACGTCCCCCCGCACCTGTTCCAGCGAACGGAACACCCGTTCCGTGCCAACGCCTTGCTGCTGCTGTTGCAACGCTGACAACGCCGCGGACGGCTGTGACGACCCCCCGCTGCCGCCTGCTGCTGCTGCTGATCCGGCAGCCCCGCCGCCTCCTCCTCCTCCTCGCACCAGCATCCTGCGCAGCTTAGCGTGGATGTCGTCAATGGCATCCTTGCAGCTGATGAAGCGGTCAAAGTTGTTGCGGATGAGCAGCTTCAGCTGCCCGGTGCGCTCGGAGAGCTCGCGGCTGAGGGCGCGGAGGCCCTTCTCCAGCTGGCTCATGCTTGTGTCCTGGAGGGGAGAGACGGAGAGGATTGCGAGGAGGGTGCGCGGAGGGAGTGGTAAGGGAAAGGAGGTGGCGGTAAGGGAGTGGGGGTTCACCGAAGTGAAAAGGCAGGGAAGGCTCTGGACCGGCCGCTACACCAGGTTGTGGAGCGTCCCTTCAGCCCCATGCAGGCACACTTCCCGTTAGCTGAGCCGGCTGATGCCTAGCCACGATGGCAGTGGGACATCACCCACCGCATGGAATGTCGCCAGGTACGCCTCAGGCTCGAACCCCTCCTGGTTGGGCAAGACCTGTGGGGCGGGTAGCACCCAGGAGTCAAGCGGGTCAAGCAAAGGCACACAGCAGCAATAGCCACTAGCCGCGGGGACAGCGTCTTGTATGGTTATCCGCTGGCTGTTAGAAGGGCCCACCACTGCCGCTCGCATGGGCAACAGAACGACCCCCCGGCTCCCCGGCGGCAAGAACCCTCAGCAGAGCATGACCAAACTGCTCGCAAGTATGCCCGCTCAAGCAATCCACACACGCACGTGCAACGAGGATACACAGCCCAGGCACAGCACAACCACACATCTTCCGAGGGCCTTCCGCCCATCCCAGCACTCGTCCTGCGCATCCAACCCACAACCTCATACGCACCTTGCGGGTCTCCTCGTCAAGGCCGGGGCTCGCGGGTCCCGCCTGGCCGCTGCCCCCAGGAGACCCCTCCGCACCGCCCGAGCTCGCCTGCGTCTGCTGCTGCTTGGCAGTCAGCCGTGCGGTGCGGAAGGTCCGCATGGTCTGGAGGGGCGGAGGGCCATGTCGGGAGGGGCCGGAGAGGGGCGCAGAGAGGTGCCATGTCGGGCGGAGGGTGTAATTGTTCGCATGGACTTACCCGTGGGCAAAGGACATGGAGCGCGTTTTGGACGAATGCAAGCATGTTGCCAGTCTGTGTGAGCTGATGGTGCCCCTTGAGTGTTTTTTGCGTAGGCAGGGGCTGCCGCTCTCAACCGCCACGGGTCGCTTCCTCTAGCCCGCGTCCAAGCCTGCCCGACCTACCGCGTTGAGCCCCTTTTCACCGCCGCTTGACGGCACCTGCCGGGACATCTTGGACTTCTTGCCCTGCGAGGCCAGTGCACAACAAGGAGTGGCAATGGCTGGCAGCGGTGTGCCCCCGACCCCGACCCACATCACCATTCCCACAACCTCCCCAGGCCCCTACCGCGCACCACCCAAATGCACCCTTACGACATGCAGGAACTCCTAAACATGACCATGCGACCAGGCAACAACAACACCAACCAGCCTCTCCCAAACCTAAGTCCAACCCATATCCGTAGTGCTTATGCAGTGTGTCCGCGTTTCTCTGTTGCAACCTCCAGCATGACGCTGTATCGCTCTGCGCTCTACTTTGGCCGAGTGGCCGCACCGCTCACCAGGGTTAGCGTCACAGGGTCGATGAAGCCCCGGCCCAGGGGGTCCGAGACCAGTTCATCGCTTTCTCCTGGACCCCCTTCCTGGAAGATCTGGTGTATAACATCATCGTCCGGCTGGCTGGCCCGCGTGGTGGTGCTTCGTACAAGGCTCTCCGCCACAAACCGCAGCTCCTCCACGTCCACCTCGTCCCAGCTGACCGGCCCCTCGCTGGCATCACGCTTGCGAAAGTATGACCATCCCAAGGGCTTGGTGTCGTCCTCGACGGGGCCACCACTTGCATCGTCATCAGACTGCGCGCTGGCCCGGTTTCCGTCCTCTTCGTCATCGTCGTCTTCCTCAGGCAGCTGGAAGTCCACCCGTTTGGTACGGCGTCCTGTCTTGCTGGTGGGAGGGCCGGCAGCGGCAGCTGCCGTGTTCCCGGCCGCAGCTGGCCTAGAGCTACCGCCAGATGGAGCGACACCCGCCGAGCCGCTTTTCTTCCCTGCAGCTGTCTGGTGATTCGGTGCATCGTCGTCGCTAATTGTAAGGAAGCTAATATCGCTCTCCGCGTCGCTGGCCACCATCGCCGCGGGAGGGGCTTCAAAGCCCCAACCTCCCGCTCAACCCATTGTATTGTTTCACGTTAGCGCTCAATAGTTCACTGGTGTTCGGATATCAGGTGAAACGCACCTACAGCGAGAATGTTAACTGTGAATGTTTAAACAAGTACGCAGCTGCCTAGGATGTTACTAGAATATATTGTCGATCTTTATAACGCGATAGATAGAAACTGTAGATAGTGCATGTTTTTGTTGTACTTGGGCTTGATCACGTCCTGTCGTTTGACCACTGAAGCCGATGGGAGGCGAAGTCGTGACACGACCCTTCTTCGGGTAGCTATACCCGTAGAAAATGTTTATTATCAGCGTGCATTTAAATTCGAGCGCGCATCTTACACACAGTTCTACTTCGACAAATAAGTGAGGTCGCAATTCTTGGGATTGGGTTCATGGGAAGAAAGACGTGCTCAAGGCTGCTTTCATGCGGCTTTCATGTAAGGGTATGGAATAGGACATCAGAGAAAGCAGCACGACTAGCGGACTCGCGGTGCTCGCCCTTCCACCAGCGTAATCGGAGCCATCCACGGCGCAAGCATCATCCTACTCATGTTCTAACGCGGGCGCCATAAGGGAGATACTCCTCCATAATCCTGCGGCAAAGGCTGTGCTGCAGATCATCCTGCAGACGGGGACCATAGGTGCGCCCTTGGGACATGGCATGGCGCCCCACATTTTGGGTTAAAGCAGGATTGCGGTTCGTTTGCATTTCCGCCGCATTTCAGCGCCACACTAGTACAGTAAAATCTGGCCACGCCTCGTACAGCGCACAGGTTACGTGCCATTAACACCTTTCCATGTCCGTTATGGCTGAGCTTGCCTCCCCCTGCGGCATCTTCTGCTATATGCGCATCGCAGCCACGTCCCGCTGAGTCCCGCGGCCTGGCCTCCGACATCTCCTCCGCGGGCGGCCGCTACGTGGAGGCGCCCGTGCTGGGCAGCCAGCCGGAGGCGGAGCGCGGCGCGCTGCTCATCATGGTGGGCGCGGAGGCCGACCCGCGGGTCAGCCCCAGCGACCCCGTGTGGCCGCTGCTGCTGGCGCTGGGCCGGGAGCCCGACATCCATTTCATGGGTCCGGTGGGCGCCGCCGCGGCAGTCAAGCTGGCGCTCAACCAGTTGCCGCAGCCCTCCCAGTCCAGCTTCCTGCATCCCACCGCCCCCGCATATTCTCCATCATGCGGCCATGGCCCGGGAACCTCTTGTTAGTTCCTCTCATACCACCATCCCCCGCGCCTCCCTCGTTCCCTTGCCCGCTTGTCTCCTCCGCCGTACAGCACCTGCTGCAGGGCGTGCAGCTCCTCCAGCAGGAGGCGGCCGCTGCCGGGCTGGACACCGCCGTACAGTCTCGGCCCTGGCCGCCGTCATCACTCATCAGCGGCGCCATGGCCTCCGTCATGGCCAGCAGGGGCTGCAGGACTGCGACTACTCGGCGGTGTTTGAGGCGGTGGTGGCGCCTGGCGGCGGCAGCAGGGGCTGCGCTGGATCGGGAGAGGAAGCGGACGCTGTTGCGGCCTAAGGCTGGAAAGGCTGCTGTGCTCTGTCGTCTTACTTGAAGATTACCGGTAAATAGGCGAGTGCATCCAAAGCCGAGCATGTGTTTTGAGGCGGCGGTGATGGTGGTGGTGGCGCCTGTCGGAAGCGCATCTCCACAGCAGCAGTAGCAGCAGCTCATGCAGTTGCTGGAATAAGAGCTGAAGAGCGCGGGGAAGGGAGCAGGGAACGCTCTTCACCGGTTGGAGGTGAGGCAGCAGGGTGCTTAGGACGAATGGGAGAGTTGGTTTTCGAACGAGCTGGGTTGGGCTGGGTTGGCTTGTCCAGCAGGTTTTGCTCGTTCGGCGAGCACACGCGAGCGCTGTGGTTGGGGTGGAACGCGGGGGTGGGGTGCTGCGGGAGTGCGGCAGAGGACAACCCTGCTTGAGGACAACGCTGCAGGTTACAAAGGCTACTGTATGCAGGTGCAGAGCAGTAATCTGGATGTGCAGGTTGTCGCAGGCGATCAGGTACGCAGGATTCCCGTGCAGTTGGGCGCTGCAAGGCAGGGTCAGGCCAGCATGCTACCGGAGTGAGATGCAGTACAGTGCCCGTGCGTGGGCTTGGTAACTAACAGTTGACTACCCGTATCGGTGTAACCAGCAAAGAGGCGGTGCGGGACAACGCAATCAGACAACTGAGGGCCTCTTACGCTGCAGGTTAGAACACAGGCATTGCGACAGCGAACGCGACTACGCGCCCAACCAGCCAAGCAATGGAAGCAACCTAGTCCGACAGAGATGGGCACCATGGCAGCAACAGGGGACAGCCAAGCAGCAACCGAAAAGGCAAAGCTCAAGAGTTCGTCATGGTGCTCGAGCCACCCACTTTGCTGCAACTCCGGCCAGTAACTTTAAAATTAAAACTAGGCAAACCCGACTTTCCTTCCTTGGCCTCCTCCTACCTAGCCAGTCGCGCCCACCCGCCCACACGTCTCCTTGTGCCCCGCCCGCCAGTGCGCCACCTGGCACTCCCGGCAGCAGTAACCCACCTGCCCGCACCGCCCACACGCCTGCAGCTTCACCTCCGCCTCGCTGTCCCCAGCCAGGTTGCTGCAACCCGGGTTGCCGCAGCCCCGCAGCAGTCCCCGCCGCCGCAGCTCTGCAGGCTCCATCAGGACCGCTGCTAGGACCGCATGCTTGATGTACAGTACGGCATTCGCCGCCTGCAGCAACCGTGTCCGCCCCTCCTCTTCGCCTGGGTCCGTGCCGCCCCCACGACCGCCGAAGTAGCCGCCAGCGGCAGCAGCAGCGGCATCTCGCCACTCCTCCAGTTGCGTCGCCAGGGCTTCAGCTGCACCAGACATGGCATCCAGGCCGTTGTCATCACCGCGGCTGCTAGGGCTCGCGGCGCCGCCACCGCCACCGCCGCTGCTAGGGCTCGCGGCGCCGCTGACGCCACTGCTGGGCTGCTGTCCAGCCCGCAGCACCCGTACCAGCGCGCGCAGCAGCTCCGGCCGCCAGGAGCCCTCCACTGCCGCCTGCCGCACCTGCTGCGGGCATGCAGCCGCAACAAGGCAGCAGGTGCCAACCAGCTCATCAGCCGGCAGAGGCTGTACGTCCGCCGTGCCGCGTCCACCTTGCAGCGTGCTCACGTACAGCTGCAGTACGGAGCCCAGCAGCGGTACGACACCCACCTCCGCCAGCAGCAGCCGCCGCCACTCGCTGCCGCTGCCCTCGCTGCCGGTACGCATGGAGGTGTCTCCGCTGCCACTGCAGCCACCGCCGCCGTAGCCGCCACCCTCTCCCGCGCCCACATCTTCGTCCGCCACGCACCGGTGGGCAATCGCCGGCAGCCATAGCAGTATGTAACTCGCGTAGAAGATCGAGGCACGCAGCTGAAAATGGTTGCCAGCGCCCGCTTGCCTCAGCAACTGTTGCGTGTAGCGTGACAGCTGCGGCAGCCAATCCCAGGCGACGCACGAGGCCAGAAGCGCATGTCTGAGTGAGGGCGTTTGCGCTGTCGCCGATGCTGCTGCTGCTGCTTTTACTGCCGTTGCTCCTGCTACGGCACCCGACGTTGCCGGGCCAGCGATAGCATTACCGCGGCCCTCGACCTCACTTGCTGGCCTAACGGTAGTGGTAACATCAGTGGCAACATCTACAAGGGACGCTCCACAGTCGGCCATCAGGTGGCACAGCGCAAAAGGGCTGACGTGCTGCTGCGTGTCGCTGGCCGCATAAGTGACCCGTGGTTCGCTCCGCCGCAGTACCTTGCCCAGGGTGGCCACCAGCGCAGTAGCCTGGCGGAGGTCGCCGTTGATGACGACGGATGCGAGGCGCGTGTGAACTGCTGCGCCCTGCTGCTTGTCCCAACGTAGGAGACATCGCAGCAGATTGCCCTCACGCCCGCTGGGACAGTCTCCGGCGCGGCGCATCAGGCGCTCCAGGCAGGGCAGCAGACCGCCCGACAGCGCACCTGCAGGAGTGTGGAGGTTAAAGACAGGAAACTTGTTGGTTACGAACTTATGATTAGGAATGGGGTCCACAGTACCGGTATGGTTAGATTAGTATTCACCGGTATTCACCTGCGCTTGGGGCAAACAACTGGAAACGTCACGAGAGTGTTCCTGTTCCATGCCGCTTCGAGACCTACCTTGCACACCCAAGGGCTCCTGTTCCCCGCCCGCCGCCAGCTGCTCCGAAATCGACTGGGCCAGCATCTCAGTCTGGCAGCACTCAGCCAGCGGCAGGACATGCCGCACCACCTCCCCCACCAGCCGCCACCACTCCGCCGCCTCCGTCACCCAGACAGCAGACGCCTCGGCAGCTGAACCAGCAGCGCCGGCCGGCAGAGGCCGCATGAGCAGCTGTGCAATCCAAACCGCATACGCGGCGACGCTTGCAGCACCGCCTGGCTGCAGTCGGAAGCAAGTGGCGGCAGGGCCAGGGCCGCCGCCGCCAACCGGCACCCTCCCTGCACACATCTCCTGCCACACCTGCGCCGACCCCACCGCCAGCCAACCGATCCGCAGCGCCAGCACCCGTGCCGCACACCTGCCCGGCGGCGACACGCGGACGGTGGGCTCCAGTGTACCCAGTGCCCCAATAAGGCTAGTCTCGTTCAAGAAGAAAATCCCCGCATCGATGCCCGCGAGTCTGGAGCCCTGCATCGGCAGGCGCTGAAGAAGTTTCAGCGGCAGGCCATATGTGGAGCCGCCGTCCGCCGTACACAGCGCCGCCAGGCCGTGTACGACAACGGCGTGTTGGGCGCAGCGGCCGGATAGCACCTTGTGAAGCTGGCCGGCGACAGAGGAGTCGGCGGGACAGGTTTTCGTTTCGCGAACGAGGGAATAACAGGAAAGGATGGTGTTGTAGGTGACGACGAACCGACTTGCGGCTTCGTCAACCTCACCATACAGGTGCGCCGTTTCTCGATCCCCCTCCACTGCCGGCACCGATGCCGTCACCGCCGCTTCCGCACCCAGCAGCAGCTTGGCCGCGTGCTCCATCACGCTGCTATCGCGCAGGGCGGTCGCTAGCTCCGCGAGGTAGAGCTGCTGCTGCAGTCGCCGCCGCGGCTGCGTCTGCTGGGGCTGGTGGTCGCCTGAAGTTGTAGCGAAGACGTTGACACCATTGACGAACAGAAAGATGCTGCACATGAAGCGTACGACACGCATGAGCGTGTCATCAACAGCCTTCCGCCGCCCCCGCCGCTGCCCTCCGGATGTGCTGGCTGCCTCTTCATTGCAGTCGTCGAGCTGCGGCAGGCTCGCCGCCACCTCCGCCATCTGCCGGCTGAGCGCCTGCAGGCTCTGCATGCGCAGCAGCTTGAGGCCAAAGTCCAGCACGTGGGGGGGTAGCGGGGCGCCGGGGTTGCGGTCTAGCTCGAGAAATTGTGAAATGCAGCTCGCGGCGGTTACGAATGCGCTTTCAATGGGGTGAGCCTCGCCTGTAGCCCCGAGCCTCGGGAGCTCCTCCGGTGCCAGCCGCAGCCCCGCTGCCGCCAGCTGCAGCAGCGCCACGCGAAAGGGCTCATCGGCTAGGATCTCCGCTGCGGCGGAAGCTGCTGTTGATGAGGTGTCGCTACTGCCTGGTGCATTCGAGCCCGTTTGCAGTGATTCTATGAATTTGCCAATAGTAGCTAGGCTGCTTTGTACAGCAGTCGCTGCTGTTGCAGCTGCCGAAGTGTTGCGACATGACAGTAGCATTTGGATCGCAGCCGGCACGCGATGCACGCAGCCCTTGATAGCAGCTGGGAGGAGCTCTTGTGCGGCGGGCCGTCTGGCGCCGTAGGGCCCATTGTAGTTGTTATTGCTGTTGTTGGCTCCTGCTGCTAATTGTTGCCGGTTGAAGGGCCCCGCTTGGCGGCGCCTCATTGCGTTGGCCGAATGCTGAAAATGACGCCAAAATCTTAAATCATGCCCTCCAAACTTCACAACTGACGAGGCTCAGGTAAAGGGGAGCGCCTATCCAAGCAGCGGGTTGGGAAAGGGGTTCTCAAGTTTAGGTATCTGCTTCGGGACTGCTGCATCTTTCTGGGCTGCACCAGTGCTTACAGAACGCACCTTTCCGCCTCGGATCTGGTCCTTGGCGATGAGGTGAGACAGTGAGGACTGTGACAAGATTCTGCACAGTGACGTGAGCTGATGCGTGCAGGCAATGATGGTCTCGGCCGGAGTTCTGGGCAAGCAAAAAGATGACGCCAATGAAAGGCCCCCGGGTCGCGGGCCAAGCGGAGCGCTAAGCAGCGTCTAAAAGCTAAGAGGGTGATAAGGTTGCCCTACGCAACAGTTTATAACCATAAATGTGTAGTCGGGACAGGAAAGCCTTGACAAAAGCCGTACGCGACATATTTGTCAATAGCTCCCCGGTTTTCTCCCATACGTTCATTAGCTAGGGTAGCGTCCGGCAAATCTGTCACTCAATCACTCAATCTGTCCGAGGGCCTCTTGAGGACGGATGATCTCACCAGGCTAACTGCGGAATGGACTGGACGAACAAATCTCATATGGGAAAAGTGCGGCCTTGAGCGCAGACCAGTCGATCTTCCACTACCGGTATTTCGCCTCAGGTGCGACACTTTAGTCGATACCTAATTGAAGCTTTCTGCTAGACGTATCTAGGCACCAATTCCTCTCAGCATTCCTTACTCATGTGAGAAGTGATGATAGATTGCGTCCTAACTTTGCAAAGCTCAAGCGAAGGCTTGCCAGCTGCCTTCATACGTTCGTTCGTAGCGGCCGTGCGTTGGCGCGACCCAGGGGTCGTTCCTTCGCCGTTTTGCCGCAACACCGGGCTGCGACGGGGCGGGCGGTCCAGTGGCTTCTGGATCTCTCAGCATTAACTCCTTATAATGTCCCTTTAAAAAGTCTAACTAATGAGGCCTCCTCTGAGGCGCATATTCGGCGATCCTGCTGCCGCCCCTTCCAATGGACGCCCGGCATCCTCACGCTTTACCGGCTCTCCCCAACACAGTCTCTGTGACAGCTGCTTCCCTGCTGATAACGCCAAGCATTCATCCTGTCCTTACCTGCCTGGAAACGCTTTGGGCCCAGCTGAGACCAAGGAGGGAAGGGAGCAGCAATTAAAGCAGCGAAAAGAGCCAAGTTACTCGGCTTGCCTCGCGCTTTGGCTCTTCAAACGAGACCTTTCGGCCATTCTCATGATGCCGGCGTTGTTTGCGCTGGCTACCGCACTAGCCGTTACTCGCGGGCTGGTGGAAGATCCGTTGGAGTCGGTTCCTAGACACGCCAGCTGTGTCGTGCAACGCGATGCTGGCTTGGTTCTGTCCAGCTTTCCTTGCTCAAAGGGAGTCCTGTCACAGGTACGATGGAAATAACCTTTCTCGTTACGTTTTTACTGGTTGCTTGAAAGCATTATTCA